AGTCAGCGGACCCCCCCTTATGAAAAGTTCTGGATCCGCCACTGATGTTTATATACAGGAGGATATCATTGTCTTTGATTTTGATGTGTACTTTTCGGGGGAGTGCTACAGAAGGTGTAAAACATGTAAAAATAGTCGGGTAAAATCATTGAGATCCGTTCATCATCCGCTTATTACACCCCAGTTCTATTGTTGTACTTCATAGTTTCTATTTCTGAAACAAGTGTAAATTGAATAGATCTATTGTTACGAATAACAATGGATTTTGACCACAGGGTGTGACGAGCGGGGTTTCTGGAAACCCCTGCTTCTACATCCCGCAAACAAAGTCCATTGTTATTCGTAACAATAGATATTGATTATGAACATAAGAAATTACTAATAGTGTTCACTACAAATTGTTTCATGATATTAAAAAAAACACATTTTAGGAAATTCCAATAAGCATCTATATGGAATACAAAAATAATCATTTAAATACTTTTTTGCTTGAAGGTAATTTTTTTTATCCCAGTCTTATGTCTCTATTCTAAAGCATTGATCTTTAAAAAAAATTTGGATTCTAACTCCCGGACCCCCCTCCCCTGGTTACCCAGTGGCCGATCCGGGGTTGGGGGTTCCGCGGGTTGGACCCGACTTTTATTTAAAAGATCAATGCATTTGAATGGTTGGACCCCCCCCCCCCCTTTTTCTCTTGAGTTGGGAACCCCCGGCTGGATCAGCCCCTGATTGACCCTAAAAAAAGGGAGTTTCTCAATTTTAAATATTGTATGTAGAGAGTGTCTTGTAGTCGGGTTTCTAATGCAGACACACCTATTCCTTAGTATGTTCGAATATGAATGTTTGTTTATTCTCGAGATGAGGGAGGGGGCTTTTGTTTTTAATAAAATCGTAAGATATAAAATACAGTTATGATTACCTTTATTAGACTGATACAGGTAGGTGCTTTGTGTTATAATATTTCCTTTATCTTGAGTCTCTTCTACCAAATCCAAGCCTTGCCACAAAATGTCGTCCGTCTTATACCCGTCCATATTGACAACTGTATACCAGGAGCATGATGTATTTTTTTTTTTTGTAATAAGAATACACGAAACAGTCAACCTTGACCTGCTGATCCATATTAGCACATGTATTTAACGGGAATATGCAAAACAACTTGACATTTGTAAAATATACTCACTTGTCAAAGTTTGAACGAAGATAACCAAAGAAAGGTTACTAGTGGGGTTTCATGTAACAAAAAAATATTCTTATAAATCATGGTTGATATTATCAATATATACGCTATCGGTTTTTTTTTTCATTTAATAATCAATGTTAACAAATATAGGGTTTAGAATGGGGTGTAAGTTAGTTATACAACTCGGGATACGGTATGTCTGGATAAGAAACCCCTCCGGCCTCCGGCCGACGGGGTTCCTTATCCAGACACACCTATCCCTCGGTGTATAACTATTACTGAATCAATGGCATTGTATTGTTTTGATTGATATGACCAATGGCTGGAAAAAGATAATGCACGAAAATAGGTGATTTAAACAGTGTATCTAAGTGGACAGAATCAAATGGAATTCAGATTTTTATTTTACCATTTCCTGTACGATGAAAAAAAATGCACATCAAAATCCGGGAAGGTGTTTTTCAAAATTAAATTGCAAAGTTAATTGAAATGAAATGGACAAATCAAACACACCTACAACATGCTTGTGAATTAGCTTATAATTGACACTTAATTTTTAATTTAGATTAAAAACATATAGGTTTTTAAATTGACTTGTAAAACTGGTTTCACAATGTTAATATACCGTCCCTTCTTTTGAAAAACTATTCACTCTGCCCAAAGGAGGGCAGTAACTTAGTCACAATGATTTCATGGTTCAGCTAGCAAGCATGCTAACCAAAGAAACTATCTTCATCTACACACTAAAGTCAATGAGCTGTAAAGACACCCACAGTCAACATGCTGTCTTCAACACAAGAAATGTGTCTATTAGCTACGATTACGATGTATGTCAAGCTCTAAACCCCCGAAAATAAATAAAATACGGATAAATCAATGATCTGTCATACAATCACCAAATTCTCTAAAATGACAAAATATTGGTTTTTCGTTCCTTGTTTTGTACATAAATCACACCGTTAGTTTTCTCGTTTAAATTGTTTGACATTTGTTATTCCGGGCCTTTTATAGCTGACTATGCGGTATGGAATTTGCTCATCGGTTAGGACCGTACAGTGACATATAAGTGTTAACTTCTATGTCATTTGGTCTCTGGTGGAAAGTTGTCTCATTGGCAATCATACCACATCTTCTTATCTTTATAAAGAACGTTAAAATATATATAAAAAAAGGAAAAAAAAACACTAATGAGGTTACTGATTCGGGCCGCAATAGGGTTTTCATAACACTCTCTTGTTCATAAGAAATCTTGTTATACAATTTTATTATTTTTTTATAATAGCTTTGTTTGAATGTGTAAATATACTTGTTCCTTTTTTTTAAACCATTTATTTTTAGAATGTGAAATGTGTACTGTATGATTGATGATGGGACGTTAATAATTATTAATATTGTATTGTTATGAATCAAGGCTTCAGTTGTCATGGTTGTCAACCCAGAACTCTATTGTCAACCTAAGTTCATGGCAAATAATATTGTTCTGATTTCTCCTATCCAGTTCCGTGATACATAAAAAAAATAACAGGAAATACTAAAAATATTGTCACAATTAAGTCAACACTTCCTTGAAAAATATTCTGAAATAAATAGTTTAATTTATAATAAAAATGTTCTTGTATATGTTATTGTTCTTGTATATGTTATATCAAAATTTTGTCTTTGGCAATTCATAAATTTTCTAAATTATGAATATCCAAAGAAAAAGTTTTAATATAACATATACAAGAGGGGTTGGACAGGGATGAGGGAACATGGGAAGCGGAAGTTAGGGGGCTGGAACCCGCGGAAGAGAAGGAGTTACTCCGGGAAAATATTTTCGTCCGATTTTCGTCTGGGAGTTTTTACGGGGGAGTGGGAGTAGGGGTGGAAGTGGTAGTTTTGGGATAGGGAAGTTGGAATCAGGGACCCCTGTCCAACCCCTCATATAATGTACGTTATTGTTCTTGTGTGCAATAGCACATTGATTTTAATACTATTTTGCATGTTCTACTATTTTTCCATTAATTGATACTCGACCCGAAATTTGACAGAAAAGACTAGTATAATAGTGTATTATGATACCGTAATACTGAATATAAAACTTCTGCAGTTGCTAACAACATTGAAATAATTATGTCTTTATAATAAAATTGAGAATGGAAATGGGGAATGTGTCAAAGAGACAACAACCCGACCATAGAGCAGACAACAGCCGAAGGCCACCAATGGGTCTTCAATGCAACGAGAAACTCCCGCATCCGGAGGCGTCCTTCAGCTGGCCCCTAAACAAATATGTATACTAGTTCAGTGATAATGGACGTCATACTAAACTCCAAATTATACACAAGAAACTAAAATTAAAAATGATACAAGACTAACAAAGGCCAGAGGCTCCTGACTTAGGACAGGCGCAAAAATGCGGCGGGGTTAAACATCTTTTTTGAGATCTCAACCCTCCCCCTATACCTCTAGCCAATGTAGAAAAAAAACGTACGACAGTACGCATTGTAAAACTTAGTTTAAGAGAAGTCCGAGTCCGATGTCGGAATAGGAAACAAAAGAAAATAAACAAAATGACAATAATACATAAATAACAACAGACTACTAGCAGTTACTGACATGCCAGCTCCAGACCTCAATTAAACTGATTGAAAGATTATGGCTTCATCATATGAATATCAGGCACAATCCCTCCTGTTAGGGGTTTAGTATTTGTAAAATAATAAATCCTTAGCTGTTGTGAATTTTGTCAGAATGTTGAGCTATACAAACTATAAAAGATTATCCTGGTCTTTCTTATATCTTCATCTATTCATAATTTCATAAACATCCTTAAGAATAATTCAACACCCCCCCCCCCCCCTTTCCTGTTTTTAAAAAGTAAATGTATAAAGGCAAAAGGTCAGAATTATTTAAATGTTGTTTAGCAACTTCTAAATTATGTAATCTGTATTTTGTAACATGCAACACATAAGTTTAGTGCTCATTTCTGCATGTCTAAATATCGAAAAGAATTAGTGAAAAATGCTTTTAATTTTTGGATAATTGGGTGCTGAAGGCGGATCATTGTTTCTAATTAATCTATTCACAACTTTCATAAACTCGCTTTACCTATTGTAAGAATCTTTTGTTGAAGACTGTATGTTGGCCTCTAGATGTCTTTTGGTTATTTTTGGCGTTGGGTCGCTATCTCATTGAGGTATATCACTTAGGGGAGTGTTATGACCCCAAGATCCAAAGCACTCCATAGTATTCTGAACCGAAGGTTCAAAACTCTCCAGAGTTATTATTCTGGGGATTGTTTTGAATCTGATAAACTTGCACTTGCACATGTGACATGCAAGTTCAAACTATGTTAATGGGTCTAAACATTCTCCTTTTAAATCTCGATCGGTTGAAATAACAATAACGCTATATAAATTGTGTGCATCCGAAGCGCTTTTATGGATTTAACTTCACCTGGAACGCTCAAGCCCCCCCCCCCCCCCCCCCCCCCACCCACCCACCCACCAAAAAGCCAATGATTTATTGAATACAACAGAACGTGAGGAGCTATATGACCTACAAGAGAAAGCCAAATTTGGAAAGTATATATATATATATATATGTGACTACCATCATCCGCCCAACCTCTCCACCCACAACAAACATAAATATTTATTTCAAAATGTCTCAACATCATTCGAAACCATTGTGATATGATTATAAAGGAAGTTTACGGTAATTTATTAGCTACAGGAAGGTGTAGTTGTATCACATTTTATTATTCTCTGTTCAATCAAAAAATTATCTACATTAAGAGTCGATAAAAGTATATCTATAACAATATGAAACTTACATTGATAAGGTAAAATCCAATGTCAATATGTTTGGTGTTATTTGTGTAAAATATACATGTCAAACATGTTAAAGGTGAAGCCGGTGTGCAATAGCGTAGTGATGTGTATAACATTAAAGATACATGTTTACCTGTCTGGACAAACCACACCATAAATTGAATTCTATTGTGGTTATAAAAACGTAAAACTTGGATGTGTGTTACAGTGCGTACTTGAATCATACTTTATTTGCATTTTTAGTAAATAAATCAACATCACGCGATATGGTTCACATATGCGTGTTCTCATTGCCACATATTGATTTAAGCTTACGTATAATATCCCATTTGTCGTTGAAGGATTATTTATTATACTGTGTCACGTGATACACTTCTGGATGAAAATGAATGAAAGACATGCATGAGGCTCCCGCAGGGTCAAAAACGACCTGCGACCTCCGGGCTTTTTAGAGGCGACTTCCGACCTGAGGGCCTTCTAAAAACGATCTGCGACCTGTAAAATTTGGAAAAAAAGACCTCCGACTCCACCCACGCTAAAAACGACCTTGCAATTTTGGGCCCGATGTTTTCCTTTGTGTGTCCTTTGTCGCCATTTCGGTTATCCTCAGAGAATTGTGTCGGAAAACTACATTCTTCCCACCAATAGAACTAGATCGGGAAGAACAATCGGCTGGCGTCATGATTGATTAGGATGGTAGATCTGATAAAATAAAATCCCCAAATCACGTGTCTGTTATTAATCATAAACTGCTGACTGTTGGTCCCACCAACCATGGTCAGCCATACTGTTTTTCCGGCCATCTGTCACACTTTTGTCTACTTTATTATACTCCACTACACGCAGTAGAGAAGTATTACATGGTTGGGTATCCGTCCATACTTCCATCTGTCTGACCGTCCCATGGTCTTGGTGGTATCCAGATGAAACTTGAGAACGGATCAAAGATTTATTTCATTTGTTCCCAATTGTTTAGCACTATATAAGTACAAGTTAAGTTCGATTTTCATCTTAAATCAACATGCAGTTTTCAAATAATCAATTTTGAACTATTTGTGACCCTTTTTGTCTCTATAGTCGGTTAGAAGTCTTCGTTTCTTTGTTTCTAGAGCCTGATAAGCTAACAAATTGTCAAGTTATGATCATTTTTGGACCATTTTTTGTTTCTTAAAAAGATTTAAGTTGGTCTGGGTTATTGCTTTAAATACACTATGGACACTATGGGCGATGGTCATCACTAGCGCATAGGGCACTAGCTACTAGCGTCTCTGTGTGTGTTCCAAAGAGACAAATGTATCCAAGTAAGGTTGATGATCAGTTTCATGTTTTATGTCCCGACAACATTGTTGCGGTAAATATAGTTTTTCGGTCTGTTCGTCCATCCGTTCGTTCGTCAGTTACACTTTGGTTTACCTTTGCGTTTAAGATGATTTCCTAAAAAGTTTCAAGTCGAATCTTCATGAAATTTTGTACCGTACTCTATCATGATATGGACTAACAACTGTGTAAAAATGGGGGAGTTCCATCGAAAATGGAAATAAGCGCCGAGCGGGACACCCCTGTCTTCAAGATATTTCCTTGTTGCCATCAGTCTATAGATCGTGTTCAAAGTATCTCAGTAGGTAAATCCAGCTCTACATCCCCGGTGATTTTATAAGAGTTCTGGGGACTTGCTCAATAAGAATATTGTGTTGGATTAGTGAAATACTGCATGTTTGGTTGAAACTACTGTTCTGAAAAATCGAAAAGTTCAAGTCCTGTTTTGGTCTCAATATGGAAAAGAACGGATATGGGGCCCCGGTTAATGGCACGAAGACATCACATATTGATCAATAAATGCCACACAAAAATAAAATCTAGAGCTGACGACACGAACTTCAATAGAGCAGGAACTTCCCACTTACAGACAGCCATCTTTGGATGGCCTCAAACAAAACAAAACAAAAACAACCGAACCCAAGGGCACAGCAAAATGTCCAAATATCTAATTTAAAATTAAAAGGTTTAATCAGGAACATATATGTCCCTGGTTTAATAACACAAGAATCGACACAACAATGACTTAAATAGATTCTTTAAATATAAAAACGACTTCCGACTTCCTTTCCTTGTTGGAAAAAATGACCTGCGACCTGTACATTTCCCTTAAAAACGACCTCGCGACCTTGCGACGAATTTTGAAGCGACCTTGTGACCTGAGGGGGGGGGTACCCTGTGGGAGCCCCATGCATGAGGGCCTGTCTGGATTAGGGGATGGGGGGTACTCCATTTCTGAAGCCCACTTTTCTCTATTCCTTATGCTTTTTGTCCATTATTCTCTAATCTTTATATTTTAGCACCTCGTTATTCTCTATTTTTTTTGGGGGGTCCATTTTTCTCTTTTCTTTATATTTTTTCACCATTATTCTCTATTCTGTAAACCCCAATCACACCCTCATGCATGGATTCTTCGATTAACGTACTCTATCCTTCACTACATAGCAAATTCAAATCGGGATTTCTTATCATTTAAATTACTGATTTTTTGGCAAAGCGCTCTATTGACAAAGTTTCAGTTTAAATAACTTGGTTAAAATTACACAACATAACATGCAGTAACGTAATAGTTTATTTATAAACACCAAAACACACATATAAAATGTGTAACAAGAGGAACCTAATCACCATAAGGCCAGTATGAACGTGGCTATGGAAGATGATCAAAGGTTATGAACAATGTTTACATAATTATATAAACGAGAGCATATATATATATAACTAATTAAGGATAATTTCCTCGTCACTTTAATATTGCAAAATGAAGAAATCTTTACCGCACGGTTTTCCAAAATTTTACCAAAAAACTGGAAAACCGGTTGTATTGTCAATTTCCTCTTGCAAAAGATAACAACCTCCGTTTTCTAAAAATTTAGTGTCATTGTATGTAATACCTTTGATATCCTAGTATAGTTGTTGCATTGATTCTGATGTTTCTGATAACAGCTAAGATTATCTGCATACAGCAATAGATTATAATAAGATAAATGGACAACTCTTATTTCCATGACATTTCTCGAGGCTTTGAAATTAGGAAACATTATTATCTAAAAAGATTTCTTCATGGTCTGGTCCGTTTGAAATTATAACAATCACTAAAAATCTGAACGGAAGTGACGACATATGCTTCTGATTTCCAAATTGAAAAAAGCTTTTCATTTGAAACTACAATCAATGCCAATTTTTTTTTAAGCCGTTTAGGGGATTCTTAATTGGAAGACCCCGTAAAAACGACCTTTAAGTTATGTTGATCGATCGGCAAACATAGCATCGAAAAAATGACAAGTATAGTTCCAAATGAAACTTTAAGAAAATAACCGGTCAACATTTATCAAACGTGACAAAACTAAGGCATCGATCCTTTATCTTTTAATCTTTTGTTTGAAAAAAGGGGGTGGGGTACACTTATTATTTTGAATGAAAAAAAATGTTACAGAAGGGAAGTGATACAAAAAAAGTTTGTTTTCATTGAAAATAAATAAATACAACACTGTGTTTCAAAAAAAGATTTCTTGTTCCTGTATGTTATTGAAAAAACTAGTTTGTATTTTAATTCAAGTGGAGTACATTGTTTATCTCGATCGATCGAGAGAGAGAGATCCATCAGACAGACGATATTAACTTTTTAGTGCAATTACGATTAATTTAAACCTAATTCAAAGCGAGATAACCATGGAAACGTCTTAAATATATAATACAGACAGAGTTATCTTGTCATGGAATAAGTTTCTAAAAAAATATTAGTTTTAGATGGAAGAAATATTCTGAAATGTTATTTCCACTGGATAATATTTGTTCCAACCAAAATAAAGGGTAAATGATATTTGTTCCAACAGGAACAGATTTTATAGCATTGTTTATAACAATGTTTCCAGTGAAACTTCTGTTAGGAGGCAGCACTTTACGTTGACAATCTCTCTCAGCGCCCTCTCAATGGATCAACGTGCTCAGTGATGACAACGACAGTTCTTCTACGATTACTAACACCCATAGACTACCCATAGATGAAACCAAATTAATGATGAATTATTGAATTGTTGTTTGCACCCCCTCCTTATCCTCCAAATAAACTTTTGGTGGACCAATTGTAAATTTGAGATATTTTAAATAACTAATTATAAGCGAAATCGAAATATTATAGACTTTAAAATCCTCTATTCCGTTTATTTTTTTAATATTTGCGCTTTGCCGCCTCTGATTTCACTTTCTTGTAAAAACTAAGTTCTTAGCTCAAAATTTTATTTTTTATGAGGCGCCTCCTTTTCCGTTGGTCAACTTCCGAGCGATGACCTATCCAATGCTTATCCAGGTACCAGTCTTGTATTACAACTCCAGTTTCCGGTGCATGTGCATGTCAAAACATGGAGGGAAATAAAATAGTCCATTTTTTTCTGAATTTTTTTTCAGGACTCAATCTTTTCTGTTTGATTAAAAGTTTATACTGAATTGAAACATTTATATAGATTAAAAAATAAATCTTGCATCTTTTTGGGGATATCAATCAAGGAAAGTGGAAGGATATCATGTTTACTTGAAGTGGTGCGGCCTAGTAAAAACAGCAAACAGAAAGTAGAAAAAACTAGTTTTGACTTCAGGGTTACATAACTTTTTATTCTTCGTGGCATAACCTACTTTTTTTTCGATTAAATCACAATTTCACATTAAGACATACATGATATGAACATAAAAAAAATTTCTATGTAGCATTTTTAATTTTTTATTTTCAAAGGTCAGCTGTTTAGCATGTAAGCCTATGGAGCAGTCAATTACAAGACTGCAACCTATCCAACTTGACTGAGAAATCAGTGCTCGAAATTAATAATGATCATTTCTGGTTTACCGTTGCTATAACCTGATCAACGATCCCGGGTCAATGGGAAAATATTACAGAATATTAATGAAACCCGGGTCCGCATACTTATTTTTTGTTGATTGGTAATCGATCTATTTCTTGATCATTAATGTTGTTTTACTAAAACATGCTGCTTTCGTCTTGTTATTTTATATTTTTTCTACTATATGAATGAATTTTGAGGACTTTTTTTATATGATAATATAAATTAACAATGTGACTTTGTCAAGCAACATTTT